TTCGCCACTCACACCACTGGTCCTGTAGGGCTCATCCGCCCTGGATTCCCTGTATTTTCAGTTCCTATCTGTACCAGTGTACATCCTTGAAAAGGGATTTATAGACTAGTTCCAGACTTATGGACTTGATCTAGACTGGGCTGGGATGTTTTCTTGATATATAATTGCATCTCTAATCAATCCAGCCTAACACAAAAATGGAATTTTCCCACGAACATTTTGAAGTTCTCTCATATAGTTGTTACTGGGCATTTCTATCTAACGTTGTACTCAGTGATATGATGGTAGCTTCAAATCCATTAAAGGGGGGGTATTTATACCATAAACATTGGCAAATACTACCAACCAGGGCTTTTATTTTTTCTTTCTGAAGAGCAACTGTTAAAAACATAAGTTTTATCACTGAACATATGAGGGGGTACCTCCCTTAAAAACAGAATTTTTTCCCCAAAGGTTTGTAATTACATTGTTTTTACAAAACTGCCTTATCACCTGTAGTAGTTATATACTAATCTGTTGTCAATTTGAGAGGTTTATGAGTGAAGGGGTGGAATCTGGCCTGTCAATCAGGATATAGCCAATGAGGCCTCTATGTGGGCATGGCCTTTTCCTGAGGATTCTGGGAACTCCTATATTTCCCCCTTGGAGACAGAGACATTCTGCTCACTTCCGGAGAGACACTGGACTGACAAGACACATGGCTCTATGTTGATAGAACCCATGCCTTGGAGCTGGAGAAGCCATGTGGAGACCGCTGCCAGCGCTGAGATGCTCACACTGCCACTGGATCCACAAGCTTTTCAACCCACTGGCCTGTGATCTTCCTGCATTCAGCATCATTGCATGTGTTTCATGAGTCAGAAGATGACTTTATAGATTGATATCAGACATATGGGCTAGTATCAGACTTCTGGACTTGATCGTGACTGGGCTGTTTTCTCAATATTCAATTGCTCTTGTATATAGACTTCTTTCTTATACACATATGCATGTTTATGAATTTGTTTCTCTACTCAACCCAGACTAACACATTACCTTCAAAGTACTCTCCATTACACTTACTACATTTGTCAACTATGCCATGTCATTCTTAGAAACATTTTTCAAACTCATCTGTTTGGCTCTGTTTGGTTAACTGACAGATTTCCTCATTTTTTTCCTTCACCTCTTCTACATCATCAAATCACTGTCCCTTCATTCGTGAAAAACACATGAAGTCCCACCGAGCAAGGTCAGGTGAATAAGGTTCACAGGGCAAGAGTAGCATGCTGGGTTTTTTTGTTGTTGTTTTGCCAAAAACTGGTACACTGAGATGATGTGTGAGCAGGTGCATTGTCATGGTGGCAAAACCAGCCCCCAGTTTGGCACAAAGCAAGCCTTTTTTGTCATACACTGTTACACAATCTTTTTAGAACTTCTAAATAGAAAGCTTGATTAATAGTCTGACCTTGTGGAACAAGCTCCACATGCACTATCCCTCTCAAATAAAATAAAAAACAACCAAATGAGCATAGTCTTGTGCTTTGATTTCACTTGGAGAGCTTTTTTGGGGTGAGGCGACAACGGCATCTTCCACTGGCTTGATGGATGTTTGCTTTGGTGTTGTAAGAATGCCTCCATGCCTCCTTACCTTGGAAAAAAGTCTGGGACCTTCAGAGCTGTTCTTTCGAAGCACGGCATGTTTCCACTCAACACTCTTTTTTTCCTGCTCAGTCAGAAATTCCTGAGGCACAAATTTCTCAGTGACCCTTCCCATTCCCAAATCTTCCATTAAAATTCACTGAACCGAGCTCCAACAGAGTCCAAATAGCTTCCCTACCTCTTCAATGGTCCATTGTCAGTCTTCCAGTGCAAGTGCCTGAAGTTTGTAGACATTTTAGTCTATTCGGGAAGTTGATGGACGTCCAGAATGAGGTTTGTCATCAATCGACATTCCACCTTTTTTGAAACGAGAAAACCATTCATACACTTGAGTTTTTCCCACAATGCTGTCTTTGTAAGCTGTGTTCAACATCACAACAGCTTCTGCAGTATTTTTCCTGAGCAGCAAATAAAATTTCACAGTCACATGCTGTTTCCTTCAATTGGCTATCAAAAAAACGAGGTTCGAGAGAAACTGCTTTTACGAAAAAATTCACTGTGACCAGAGAACCTTCCCAGGAGATGCCACTGGGTGCACTAATTCAGAGCAAGTTGCCGTATGCTCTCACAGTGGGAAAAATGCACTCTACAAAATCTCCACCCAACAAAGATTTTTTTTTCTGTTTTGGGGGGTACTCCCTCATATGTGCCATGCAGAAGAATATAGGCTTTTACATAGAGAAGAGACATGAGAGCTTCTTTGAGTGAAAGAAAAGGAGACACTTTAATTTGAATTTACTTGTGTAACCTGGGTACTGGTGCCTTGTTTATTTCAAGAAGACTGTAGGTAAGATGTATGTGTTAGTCTGGGTATTTTAGAGAAACAAATCCACAGAAACTCACGTACAAGAGAGAGTTTTATATCAAGGTGAAGTGCACATCAAGAAAACATCCCCACTCAGGGCTGCCCAAGTCGACAAGTCCAACATTAACCCATATGTCCAACACCAATCCACAAAGTCCTCCTCCATCTCACAAAACACACACTATGATGCCGACTGCAGGAGGAAAGCCAAATCAGTAAACACCTGAGCACCTAGGGAAAGGAGAGCCAAAAATCAAAGGGATATTCCCCCCAAAGGCACATTGGGGTTATTTATTTATTTTTAAATGTCTGCATTTTTCTAGATATGTTCCCTGAATATACCAAGGTATCCATTTTTTTCAACAAACGAAATCATAAAAAATATGGAAGTTGGACACACTCATTTTGGGAACGGTCTCGGGGAGCATTGCGTGAAAAGTAACGCTCTCCTGGCTCCACCTCTCCATGCTGGATACCATTCAGCTTTGCCAGAGCGCCTTCCTCCTGGGCTCTGCCTGGTGTCTAGAAGGGCCTCGAAGGCTCAGAGGAAACAGCAGAGGAATATGTTTTGTCATCTCACTGGGCCTTCCCTTCCCTCAACATCTGCCCCACCCCTTCCCATCACATATGCTCAAACAGTGGAGTGTTGTCAATTTTTTTTCAACTGCACATACTCCATAGGATAATGCATACAGGAAGTGCTTGAATATATAGATGTTGTGTGTGTGTGTTTTAAGAGTTTTGGGGAAAAGCAGGAAAAGTATCAGGAAAATTAACAAGGTACTAGAATGTACTAGATCTCTCATAGATCCAAATTTATTTCAAATGTTTACATTAACTTCTACCAAACTAGGTGAAATGTTAAATAGCGTCTCCATCTCTAGATTACCAAGGGCTCTTTTTAAAGCCCTGACCGTTTGCTTTGACTTGATGGAAGTGGGTTTGGTTTGGGGTCTGACCACTTGACAGGATTCCCTAACAGCGACCATCCAGCACAGAACCTTAGGGTTGGGAAGGGCAAGCTCAGCTCAGCTTGAGGCGGCCCCTCCACTTAGGACCGTCCGTCTCTCCCTGGACTGGACAGGATAAAAATAAGAGCTAAAAGGGAGCACCTCCGATGCCTTAGAACAGCAGTTCTCAACCCGGGGATCCAACAACCCTTTCACAGGGGTCACCCAACTCATAACAGTAGCAAAATGACAGTGATGAAGTAGCAATGAAAATAATCTTGTGATTGGGGGTGGGGGTGTCACCACAACACGAGGAACTGTATTAAAGGGTTGCGGCATTAGGAAGGTTCAGAACCACTGCCTTAGATGCTGCTTCTGTGCGTAGCCTATTTAATCTTTACCCCCTACTCTGTAGGTCTGTATTCGCTGTTTTGTAGATGGGGAAAGGAAGCTAGGGAAGGTCAAGTAAATTGCTGAATCACAAAGCTGTCTCTGCCATTAACCCTTATCCTATATAATGTCGTTATTCTAACAATGCTTAACCCTAGAACCCTCAAAGTCAGGGCTCTTCCTCAACTTCTTATGCATAGCAGTGTCTGGCAGAATAGACCACTAGACTTCTTGAAGGAAAGGACACAGATCATTCTACTCTGCACCAGGCACTGTGTATACCGATTCATGGATTACCTTGCAAGTGATTTTTGTCCAGTGTGAAAGAATCGGATACACTGTGCTTCTATTGTGTTGTAGGGCATGCACCAGTTTTATTTCTGGGTTAGGGATCTCCAAGGATATGCCTCGTTTGATTTGCCCGCACTCAGCACACATGGCTCGGATTCACGAGTGCTCGAAGCCACCAGTGGCTCCGTGGGAGAAAAATCTGACAATCTGCCTCTGTGACAATGATGGCCTAGAAAATCAAGAGGCAGTTTCTACTCTGCTACATGGGGTCGCCATGGATCAAAAATAGAATTGATAGCACCTCCCGTCACAATGTGCAAAGCTGAAAGGATACAAACAAAACTCAGCCAAGGAAAAAGGTGCAAAGTCCAGGGAAACTAGCCGGAAGCTTCCAAGAATCCTGTCCCCGTGGTCACACAGAATGCCCTTCATTGCCCCAGCAACGGGTTGTGACATGGGAAACGCTGCCAACCACCGAAGGTCATTAGACTCGGTGCCCAGGATTTCTACTGGGGACTGGTCACATAGGCCCATTTGGCACACAATACAAAGCTGGTGTGCAGCACAGACTAGTTTAAAACTGGCATCTCTCAGTTCCAGGAATGGTGTAACCCTCCTGAAAGACAAGTTCGTAGATGCCAGCCAAGGGGCACTCTTGCATGCAGGCTGTCCTGAGGTCAGTCAGGTCTGTTGTAGGACTCTGTTCTGCACAGTATCGAGCCTTGCCGAGCTTTCTTCAAGGCCTAGACTACTTGTTGACTTCTCATTTGAACCCTTTTTACCACCCTGTTGAAGCCTACATTCACCAGTTAAACAAGTCTTTCCTATGTGCTCAATTGTATATGAAATAATGTTTAACTCTAACAGACATGAACTAAGCAGAATAATTTGTCAAAGCTAAAAAACCCACCAACTCAATATCAAGGTTGACTATTGCAAATATTTTGGTTATTAAAAAAAATTGCCTTTCATATTTTCTTACTGATTTCTCCACACTTCAGAATGCCCCGAGGTACCAATCATTTGGCTATTGATATATTTAGAGTACATATTAAAAAAGCAAACTTTCTGCAGATAGGCAATATGTAGATACATTTACTCTTTAGTTTTATCAACCAGAATATAAAATTTCCCGCCAAGATTAAAATTTATTTATATATGACAAATATTTTAAATGATAAAATGAGAAACCAATTGCTGTTGAGTGAATTCTGACCCATGGTGACCCGCATCTATCCGATGAGAGCTGTTCTCTACAGGAATCTCAATGATTAGTTTTGCATTAGTAAATCACCAGGTCTTTCTTCCAAGGTGCCTCTGGGTAGTTTTGAACTACCAACCTTTTGGTTAGCAACACGCAGGGACTCCTTACTAATGACACATCTCCTTACATCACTGTAAAGGTTTTGAGTTAATAGAATCTTGATCCTAACTTCAAATGTAACAAGTAATAGTAACTTATGTAACAAGTAATACGTACCATAAAGTAACACTATTTTTTGAACTTTATTATTGTCAGATATTGCTCTAACCATTTAATATTTTTTCAATAAGCATTTTTTGTGCTGTATTTTGTGTATTTTAAAATCAAGATGTAATTTTAGAAATTCCCATACATAGTGTACCGAAAACAGAAACTAAGAATCCAAGCTTTATGGGCAATTCTAAGAAGAGGGCACAATGAAGAGTGGGCACAGCTAGCTTGTATTTCAGGAAAGCAAACATCTTCGGTTTGAAAAATGGGAACATTTTAATAAAAAAAAGAATTAAGCACTGAAGGAGAAATTTATTACTAAATAACAGCTGGTGCTTTCTTCAAATTTGTACCATTTGTGCAAAAACATCATTACATAAATGTTCAAGTGATATTTACATAATACAGGTAAGGAGGAAAAAATATTCCCTCTCTCGCTTCTGATCTGTAACAGTTTGCAAGCTAACTAAGAATGGGGTTCTAGCCAACTACACAATAAAGTATTTTTTTATGCCATAACATAATTCAAGATGCCGTGGTAAGCTTATCAATTAAGTCGTCAATAGTATAAACAATAAGCTGGATGTCCGCCTTCTCCTTCATCCGGTGGTCACTCTCTTTTCGGAGGATAATATCCACATCTGTGCTGAGCACTCGGTCAGCAACCTGCATGGAGGTCTGCCAAGGCACAAGGTCATCCTTCATGCCGTGGAGCAAGCGTATGGGGCAGACCACAGGGATGGGGCTGTGTAGCAAGCAGTGGTGCTTTGCTTCTTTAAGGAAACTGTACCGAAGGCAATAGACTCCTTCTTCGCTGTACTTAGTTGGTATTGACCACTCTCCTTTGATCTCTATTTCCTTTTTCGTCTATCAGGGAAAACAGAGGGGAGAGAAAGTATGCAATATTAACACCCAGGCTGTCTTTTTCCTTGAGGGAGAAGGAAGTTTTCATTAGCTGTGTGACTCACAAAGAGCCCTACAGATTAAACAAACAACCCCCTGTCCTGTCCCTTTCTCATGGTCGATAGATTGGACTGTTGTGATTACTGGCTGAGGTTTGGAAGCAGATTAGAGTCCTAGTCCGGAAGCTCAGCTGAAACCTATTCAGCAGAGAAGTCAAGTACAAGGTTCAATGGTCAGAAATGAAACTGAGTCTCCAGCACAAAAGATGGAGAGGGTAACAGTGACTGGCCCCAGAGGAAGGAAGGATATTAATTTTTTAAGAAGAGGAAGAAAGAAAAATGTAACAATACATTATCAATAAATGAATATTTACTATAAGCTAGATGTTGTGACTGGAACATGTATTTTCTCATTAGAGCAGTGGTTCTCAACCTTCCTAATGCCATGACCCTTTAATCCAGTTCCTCATGTTGTGGTGACCCCCCAACCATAAAATTATTTGTGTTGCTACTTCATCACTGTAATTTTGCTACCGGTATGAATTGGGCGACCCCTGTAAAAGGGTCATTCGACCCCCAAAGGGGTTACGACCCACAGGTTAACAACTGTTGCAGTAGAGCCTTATAATAATTGTTATTCCATTTTTATAAGAGGAAATAAAGATTTAGAAAAGCGAAATATCATAGTCAAAGTTCAAAGCTAGCAACGGTTGTGGCTGGGACTCAACTCCGATCTCTCTAACTTCTTATTGGAGTGGATCAGATACTGTTCCAGCCTAACTAAATGGCAAAAGAGAAGGGCAGAAAGTAAAGCGCGTTCTCGGAATCGGTTCAGCTATCATTCGTACTTATATAAAATCAAGTATCGAATTAAAAATTATTTCAATTTCAAAATCGTAGAAAACTAAGTGCCCCTATAGGGGAAATAAGTGAAGAGGTGAGGAAAGGAGTGGGGAGGATCAAGTATTGAGCTAAAAATAAAAAATAAGACACTGGCTCATATGGGACAATCACATGGATATCAATGTGACTCCAGGCTGAATGATAAGTTAGGGCTTTTACCTTCTAAATCTTATAGAATGAGAAAAAGTGTTTTGTTTTGGATGATACATCTTTCAGTATTTCCTGAAAACTGAACAACCCGACTAATTCTACATTTATTAGCTTAAAACATTGAGTACACTTTGATATTTGATGAATTCCTTTATGTTAGATCATAATTTATTCCAAATGACCTATTTCATAAGCAAAAGAGTAACATATGAGAAAATAATGGGAAATAAAGACTCACAGAAGAGAGAAATCACTCACACTACTACCATGGGGGTACAGTTACTGTTAGTGTCCTGGCTTACTTCCCTCATTTGTATACAAGTATTTGGTTTTTTTAACATAAAAAAATATAAAAACATACCGTACTTACATTCATATGCAATTTTTGGTGCCAATTTATTAATTGAGTACACTTGTCTGTGGTTTTAAAAATTCTCTGAAAAGTTGTTAAAGGCAGCTCACAGTTCCCTGAAACGACTCTAAGATAACTAACCATTCCCATTGCTGGTGGATACTTCCACAAGCACCCTGAGTGTAAAGGGCTCCTGTATGCTATCAATTCTTTGGAAAGGTCACAAGAACCTGAGCTAACAAATCAAGCTTTAAAGCACTTGGAAGCATATAATATGCAGGGCATTTCTGACGAGACTCAGCTCTGCTCACATTGAGTCCTGGTGGCAGAGCAGGTAATAAGTGGCTAATCCCAAGGTCAGGTGTTCACTCTGTGGGAGAAAGATGAGGCTGTCTGCTTCAGTAAAGTGTGCGATTATGGAAAGCTCAGAGGCAAGTTCTATTCTGTCCCACAGAGTCCCTGAGCGTTGGGATTGGTTTGGATTATCCTCATACTGCTACTTGTTTCTGAATTTGAGTAATTTTCAGTGATTAGAACTTATTTTCACTAATTATTAGTTTAAGTGGAATCAATGCTATTAGTCAAGCATGGAATTAAAAACAGTTGCATTTTAAGCCCCCCCCCC